TCATCATTCTGTGCAGCACCATTAGCATTGGGTGCTACTGAAAAGTCTTCTCGGATTGTACTGCAGTCTAAAGGTTTACACAACCCAAAATCTGACAGTCTTAAGTGTCCATATCTATCGAGTAGCAAATTGTCAGGCTTAATATCCCTGTAATATGCAAAACAGACTAGGTTAACCTCTATTTCGCAGTCCAATAAAATTAGATTTACTTAAATCTATTTCAAAAAATCAGTGTAAATAGTGAATTTGTACCACAAACCTATGAATGTAATTGTGTTTATGGATAGACTCAATCGCTAAAACTGTTTCGGCAACATAAAATCTAGCTTCCTCTTCAGTCAAAATATCCTTTCTCATGAGCAATGTCATCATATCTCCTCCAGGTAAGTATTCCATTATAAGATAAAGATAGTCATCATCTTGAAATGAACAGTACAGCTTGACAATGCAATTGCTGTCCACCTCAGCAAGTAAGTTCCTTTCCGCTTTGACATGCTCTACCTAAAAATAATATAAAACAACTGGCATTAGATACAGTTCAAATTACCTCAGTAATTCAAGTGGCAGGACACTAAACTGATTACCTGGCCTCTACGAAGCATCTCTGATTTCTTAAGCTTTTTCATGGCATATACAGAACCAGACGTCTTTTCCCTGCATACACGAACCTGCACCATGAAGCAACATTGGTCAAAAACTTATATCAATCCCATGAGACAAGATCTCTATACTGTGCCAGCTGGGAGGCTGAAACTGAACTTTTTGTTTCATTAGAAAACTCTCCTTTATGTAACATTTTTCTTTGAATAGCTCAATCATGTCATTTAGTCACCAACCTCCGCGTTCTCCATATATAGAGAGAACCAAAACACTTGTAAAGCTATTCGAACTAAAGAAGACAATATAAGTACAAGATCGTTTCAGAAAATTTATACCTCACCAAATGCGCCCTTGCCGATCATAGTCAACAGCTCGAAATCATCAACACCCATTTTATGCCTCTGAAGGCGCATGTATTCGGTTTCTTTCTTCTCAAGAAACTTGAGAAGGTTGTTTTGATCTTCCTCAGAGACGTCGGCATCAGCCAACTTTTTCTCTAACATGTTTCGTCTGCCATAAAGAAGCATAATTACTAATTCGAAATCGAAAAAACCCACAAAAACTGGGTTAAACTTCTCTGCCTATATCAGTAAATCCAACAAGAAATCATCACAAAGCCGCATTATTTAGCATTACAATTACAAATTCAATCATTTTCCCAATTTCCGAAAACAAAAATGCAAATTCATGAATTCAAATTATATATCTACCGTTCCTTCCGCTCCTGGAGATTCTTCATTTGCTCCTTGTAATGGTTCTCAATATACTGCTTCGCCGCCGCAGCCTTCTGCTTCGTGACATTGGAAAGCGCCTCCTCATCCATATTCGACTCTTCTCCGCCTCCATCGCCGCCGGCGCACGGCTCCTTCCTCCTCGTCGAGCTCCTCAGCTTTTCACGCGGCTGAAGCTTCGACAGCCAACTCCGTGCCGAATCCATTTCCTCCTGCTCGCAATGCAGCCCACCACCATGCCAAACTCGCAACGTGAATTTCTCAATCCCCAGCCATCTGCATTGTAATTTCGATCACGAAACGCATCAAAATGCAATCGATTGCATGCAAATCCGAATAAAAAATTTGAAAAAAAAAATGAAAATGAAAATTTGGGGAAAATATTCTTGGGAACAAAAACAAGAGGCTGAGAATTCGGATTACCGCGTAAAACTAGCGGCGGGTGCGATCCGCGAAAACCCTAAATAAACTCTCTCCCCTCTCTCTCTCTCCTCTCACTTTCTCTCTCTTTTGTGTGTTGTAGGCAGCAGAGGGAGACACATCTTCTTCTGTTCTTCCCTCCATTTTTATATTGGTATATATAGCTTCTCCATCTTCCTTCGAATTTTCCTTTTTAATTTTCAAATTTAATTAATTATTTAACAAATTTTTAGTTTTTTATTTTATCTTTTGGTACGTTGGATCTCGCGAGAAATTGATCCGCTAAGATTCGCGTGGGGGGGCCGGGTTCTGTCCATATGTCTCTGTTCAAAGTTTTCCCGCGGACAGCGGTTTTTTTCTTTCTCAAACGCTCAAAGTCCAATTATTTTGTCCTAAAAAATAATAAATGTGAATTTGCAAGGAATTTGTAGCTCGGTTGTTCGACAATATTTACTCTTATATTTTGACGTCTCGTGTTTATTTCCTAAAATCACTATTTTTCACTTCAAATGTGACATTTCAGTTAAAATTTTGTTGCAATCAATAACTTTTATTCTAATTTTGTCTATTTTTCAATTCCAAAAATATGAATAATTCAAATATAACTTTTTCAGTAGTATATTTTAGCGTTGTAAATATCATACACACTTGTTTTGAAAAATCTTCTGTCATGCACATATAACCCTTTAGACTTCAAAATTGAATATTCGTCGCAAGTTGCAACAAAATTAAGGTAAAAATTTCTTTCTTTTATTTTTTATTCTAGAAATATATGATCGGCTCACGCAAGCGAATAACCGTAAGTAGTTAATGTATGTGAAACTAGTATGCACTAGTGGCTCTAGTTGCATAAATGATCGATCACCTGTGTGAACGACTAATCTTTAGCACTCGTTAGTTTCATTTTTGTTGTCAATGTCAAGTCATGACACGATGTATTTTTAAGGTTTCAGATGGAAATCACAAAAGGTAGCATATATTTCCTTCCGTACGAAAGGGGTAAAGTGCAACAAGGTTTCTTGCATTAAGGGTCACCAGTGCATCAAAGAAGAGCAGAGTGCAAGTTACTTCCAAACTTACTACCATTTTCCCGGTGGTTGTGGATGCGGATGAAAGTTGGCGAAGCATCGCCATCAGAAAGTGATTGTAACAAAAGCACTTTTGGTTCAAGCAAAAAATCTTTCTTGAGTTTTTTCTGAAGTATCATACTTGTATTCTTGCAGTGAAAAATTAGTGTGATTTAATCCTACCATGTTTGGTGCTACCCTTAAACATGGTACAATACTCAGGGAAAGAAACCCTTTTTATCTCTATAGTTGCCGACCTCTTCCTTGCAGAGATTTTTCAGTGTGACCGTCATATAAGGTGGTACACCACGTGTTCTTATATAAATGGTGAGTTATGTGTGTTAAAATGTTAATAACTTAAAAATTAAAATTTTGGGAGTTTTAACGAAAAACTAGCGGTACTGTTCACTTTAACGAAAAACCACATTTTTACACTAAAAAGTCAAACCTAGTACTATTCACTTTACACTTTATTTTGTCCTTATTGTTAAAACTCAAAGTTTTTAAGCCATTTTCATTAGTTTTCCTTAAAATTTTCCATCACTTGCATAAAAACATGTAATATACCATCCGTGTTCCCGTCACAACTAAAAATTTCTCCTTCCTTTGGTGGGTTGGTGGCAGGCCCCTCTCTTCAGCTTTTTTTTTTGTTTTCTTTCTCTTCCTTGATCTCAGTAACCTCTTTTATCTTGTGCTGTTATGCTCTGAGCTTTTATGTTTGGTTTATTTTGAGCTTATAAGTAAAAATTTGCCCTCAGTTTTGTATGCATCATTCCTCTCCATTTGTTGTTCCTCACGAATCCTCAATCATCAACCTTGGCCACTCGAATCATCGGATGCTTCATCCAGGAATCTCCTTTGGCGGAGTGTTCTGTTGTTGGTTGGTGGCTCTTAAAGTACAATTTACATTATCTAGTAGGATTATGGCAGCGTTCATTGCTCGGGTGACTTGCCCACCCCATTTTCCATTGATCCATTTAGTTCATTGGTCTTCTTCTTGATGGTGTTGGCTTTGTTAGGATGCTACGATAGGTGGGAAGAGGCGACATTTTTCTAATTTCAGCTCTAGGGTTTTTAGTTTAAATTTGTTGTGATCTCTCTTATTTGGGCATGTTCATTGTATTTTATGTTAAGTTTAGTTGTGCTTTTACTTGTTTGTTTTTGGCTGCCTCTATTTTGAGTTTTTCTTACCTTGTAAGAGCACTTTCACCCCTCTCAAATCTCCTAGGAGATAGTGGATTAAATCCCCTCCCTCCCCCAAAATTCCTCCACCCCATTCCTATCCACTGGACTCTAGGGGAGTCTAGTTGCTTACCTAGGCTAAAATTGACTAACCTAACCTCTAGGCCATGTGACGCAAGGTTGATATCAGCTACAATTAAAAAATTAATAAAAAACAAATAAAAATCATAAAAAATAATTAAATATACAAAAAATATAAAAAATAATAATTTTTTTCTATAAATACCTAACCGTGTTCTTCCACCTTACACCACATTTCAATATTTTCAAATATTATAAAATACTTTCAACCAACCTTTTATTATCATCCAAAATTAAATTTTTTTATTATTATTATTTTATAAGAAAATTTTAATAATATTTTAAAACAGATTGCCTAGGCTATTGTGAAGACGTAATTGGACATTTACTATTCACTAAAAGCAATTCCCATTCACTTAGGGGATTAAATAGCTTATTGCCCCGCGCCGCGGCTGCGGGCGGCGGGGGGTGGGGGGGGGGCCATTATAGGCGTGAAAATGCTCTAATACCCATCTTTATGGATGAATTTTATTACGTTTGACCCAAAAAAAGGAAAAGAAAACAAGGTACAGTACTCTCGATCACTACATTAAACCCTAACACGGACCCAGGTGCCTAGGGTGTACTCTAGCCCACCCCAATTCGTTAGCTGGGTTCGTGCCTGTTCAAACCCAAGAAAGCTACTAGTTGGTCGCTTATGATGCCTGTAAGCTCAGGTAGTAGAGAGATGGGTGAGATGGTTCAGCTCCTCCTGTTATGAACCTAATAGCTTCTTAGAAAAGCTCAACTGTTGGAAATTTAAGCAACGCAATCACATAACTTAGTTATTATTCCCAAAGAAAACCGCAAAAAATTCGCATCGTGAGGCCGAAGGTGGTAAGAATAATCTTCAGTAAAGAGTAAAACTGAGACTAATAACTAAAAATTGAAGCCGTATCACATTCAGATTTCTCTATATCGCAAACCATGCCATTGTACATCGCATGTGTTTTACTTGTGACACAAGTCACCCCTTTAGTGAATGTTTTCAAAGACACAAGAAGAATGTCTAAGACAATGTCCTCTATCAAATCCTATAAACCATGTGCCATTCGCATGTTGATGCTCCTATCACACGTCCCCTCTCGTCGAACGAATCTGTTTCTGCTTTTTCTATACCATCGGAAGGCAAAGCCAGATCAGGAAGGGGATTGCAGGCTGATCTAGTAGAAACAAACCCGAAAGCTACAACTGGGGATTTCATCGTACTGCCAACCTTATTTCTACAATCTAAAAGGGGAAATAATTGCTGATGAATGAAATTGCTTTTCTTACTTGTACATCTGACTTCGAATTTGATATTATCTCACAGCTTCTTTGAGATCAGCGGTAATACGCCATGTGCCTTGATGACGTGAATGGAGAACTAGCGAAAGGAGAGGCCTTTTTCATTTGGGCAGGGGGATTTGAGGATTTCTTTTTGTCAGACTTGGTCTCTGCGCGGAGCCAGGATTCAACAACAGAAAGCAGATTGACCGAACTCTTCAACTCATTAACCTCCGACAACTTCTCAGCCCTCTTTAGCTCACCGTCTTGGATGTAAGCCAGATGCGTTGCCCATGTCTCCAACCCATCAAAGATATGGGTTGCATATACAATTGTAGCTCCTCTCTATAATTTACACAAAAGGATGAATAATATGTCACAACAGAGAGTAATCAGGTCGAATGAATCAGTAAACGATGTTTAAACTTCTTAACCCGACAATCAAAATTTGCACGATCATAATGGTGATCCTGGATAATACTCCAAGCAAGAAGCATGATATAATTTGTCGATGATAAATAATGTCAGTACCTGCTCACATTCTTCCTTGAAGAAATCTAGTAAGTCCATCCTAGCAACGACATCCAAGTCGACTGTTACCTCATCAAGCAAGAGAACCTGCAGATTTGTCAACTTCCTCTAGTCAGAACAATATCAATACAGTCTACTGAGTTTTTAATCACAGACGGACTCGGACACAAGACGTAACTATGAATAAAACATGAAGCACACAAGCAGCAGTCATCTAACTTTACAAACCGATATTCGAGATCTCATTATACCTTAAAGGGATGAAGAAGTCCCATGCAGATTTGGACTCGACGCCGTTGCCCGTCAGATACTTTATGCATTCTCCACCGCAGGTCTATATCAAGCAGCTCAATCAACTTATCTCTCCTAACAGGATCAGTCCCTTCGACTGCCAAAAATCATGAGCAAACACAGCAATTCAATCGAAAATTTCAACAATATTGACAAGGAAGAACAATCTACATGCTCATAAATTGAAAGAAAACAAGAACATAATAACTAATAAGTAAAATTTCAGTGCTTATCATTTCAGCCAAAATTTAAGTGCTTTTAATTTCAGCAAAATTATAATTACCCCACCTCCAAAAATCATATGCTCAGCTGAGAAATCTCCCTGCAAGGGAAGTTCTCCCTGAAAATTTTGCAAAGACGAAATCTTTTCAGTTTCAGTATGCTCATAAAATTAAGTGCTTTTCAGCCACAAAAGCAAAATTTAAGTGCTTTTCATTTCAGCCAATAGCAAAATCCTTTAAATTGTAGAAGAATTCGTTTAACGACTTACAGCAGAGCCAACAGTTTTGGTCCAAGAGCCACCCAAGTAAGCCAAATCGCCACTGCAAACCAAATGCGTGTCATGAAAAGCTGAACAATTCAACACTCGCACCACATCTCTCCCTCCCACCATCTGCTTCCCAGCTAGAATCTTCAGCAACGTGGTCTTACCTGCAAAACGAGACCACGCCGTATCCAAACCCAATCAGCTCCGAAGTGCAATTCGCACTGCATCCCTGGAAAACTGAATTTCCAAAAGTACTTTCTAACACTAAAAGCACTTCTGGGTCGTATTGTTGCTTTCCGGAGAAGCACTTCCGAGGCTTTTCCAGGAAGCACTACTTGGGTTTTGAATTTTAATACAATTTCAACATGTTAGTGAAAAAACACTTCTAACAAAAGCACTTATGAGTCGGAAGCAGCCTTAACGAGCCCAAAAGCCCGGTTTTTTCAATTACCAGATCCATTGGCGCCGATGAGAAGGCATCGGGATCCAGGGGTTATCTCGAGGTTGAAATCGCAGAAGAGCGGGGGCTGCGCGTCGTACGAAAATTGCATGCCCTGGACTCTGATGCCGCTCGATGCCTCTTCCGCCATGTTTGCTCTGCAAAATCAGGTAGCACAGAGGCGATGGTATTTTCTGCGGTCCTTTTATGGATGCGAGTTGGCCGATAAATAGGCGCCGACGGTGGAGTTGGTTCTGGCCTGGGTCACACGTGGCGAGTAAAGAAGTGACCACGTAATGTCAGTCTCGTGAGAGAGGAGAAATCTGGTGTGTAAACGGCCACGAGTTCAGAACTTATTGGCCAACCAGATTTGGGCTAGAACTGGTTGGAAAGGTCCCGCTTGACATAGTTTACAATGTTGACTTTTGACTCGTGTTAGGTATTGAATAAAGAGTGTGATAAAAATTAAAAATCAAACAAAATAGTATTTTGCCACTTAATATTACGGTATGTAGTATCCTTTTCATCTGTAAATAAAAATGTTATAGGTTTGATTATCGTTTAAGATGAAATTGAACTATATTATTATCGCAAATCTATTGTAAGACTTAGTTCACTCTCCTATTTCGTAATGTAAAAATTGTTAAAAAAAAAAAAAATGTTTTCCAGTTTTCCTTGTCCCATTTGGTTTGTACGTATTCTTTATTCTTGTGCCTTCTTGATAGAGTAAAGAGTGAATTAGTCCCTTAATTATTATTCAAGTGAAAATTGAGTTTCTAAACTAATTTTTTGAAAAAATCAGTCCTAAACTAATTAAAATTTGTCTATCAATTGCAACCCTAGTGTTAGATTCGAAATTATTTTAATTCAATTTTTCGTCAATTTAAGGCATTTAAATGAATGAGACTTGGCTGCTGAAGATTCAGCAGCACCCATACTGATCACCAATCAAGGCTGGACATGTGTCAAAATTGTGAATTTTTTAATCACAACTTGAACACGTGCCTAGTCATGATTGATGATCAGTAAGGAGTGTTGCTGATTCTCCAAGTTCTATCCCACTTGAATTACATGTGATATACTTTGAAGCATATACATTGATAGTTTTTTTCTTTTGACTTTAAGGACTTACATTGAACAATATGTACGGATTTAACATTGACGTGTAAATTAGAAATTAGTTCGCCATCAATATAGAACATTAAAGACTTGTAGGCGAGAAAATTACAATAATTCAAAATGTATTATGTATAAATCACGTGACTTGTTGATGAAAAATTAAATAAAATATCTTTGAATATAATAGTAGATTGAGAATAGCAGTTTATGTAAATTGAAGGACTTATTTTATTGAAAAAAATATTAGTTTAAGAACATAATTTTTACTGAAGCGATGATTTAAGGACCATAACAGCAGTGAACGACATGTCGTGTATTTACAATGCATAAAAAAACCCGCGGGACCGGTAGTTACTAGTCACGCACTCGCCGCGAAAGTGAGAAAGGCGAGGAAGTTAACTTCTCGGAGACGACTGCGAGGGTGCGCAGGTCAATAATCGTGTGCCCCTTACGCGCCATAGAAACCGCAACCGAGTAGTAGCTGCAAAACCCTCTCACAAAAGGAGAGAGAAAGAGAGAGAGGATTTCGCTTCTGCTGCGAATCTGTAATATCTGAATTCGGTACGTCAATTGATCGAATTCGAATTCCGTTTGATGTTTCGTGGTTGATTTGTGTATGATTTTTCTGCCTAATTGGATTCGAATGCATGCTTAATTGCTTCTGCTAATTGAAATTATCAGATAAAATTGCCCTGTATTTCACATTTGCAATAGAATGGAGGAAGACGAAGATGCAATTTTGCTCAACAGTTTGAAGGGGGCGACGGCGGCGAATCCCGAGGATATCGAGAGGGACATTTTATCAGGGGTATGTGGAATTGATTGAATTTCGTCGTTTTAATCTTGATTACCCATTGCATTGCATGTAGATGATCGAAAGTTTCGAAATTGTGTTTTTTAGCTCCGAAAAGATGGGGAGAGTGATGGAATGGTTAATTGGATGTTAGGATTTGACAGTAGGTTGTTTTGAACTGCAGGTACATAACAATGGCAATGGTAGTAATGTTGGTGAAGTTGGAGGGAGTAACGAGGAGGAGGAACGCCTTGAGAAATCCGAAAGTATTGATCCATCGGTTGCCAGTGGGGTCAAATTGTATAACAAATTGAGGGCAGTTGAGTTTGAAATTGATGCCGTTGAGTCCACTGTTGAACCAGAACAAGCGGGGAGTGAAGAGGGTGATCGTGATGGTGGTGATGGCGCAGAGGCGGGAAATAAGGAAGATAACCTCCAGCATGCCTGGCTACTGACCGGTTAAGAAGTCTAAAGAAAACAAAGGCGCAACTTGAGAAGGAGCTTTCGGATTTAGGCAAGGGAAGACCGTCCAAGGGTATTGCGCGTGACAAAGTCTTATTGGATATTGTCAAGGACAAGCCTGCACCCAAGAGGAAGTCGAAACAAGTTCAGATATCCGGAAAAAAGCTAAAGAAAAGGATCAAAACGGTCTCATTTGATGAGGATGATGACTTTGATGCTGTGTTGGATGCAGCATCTGCAGGCTTTGTTGAAACAGTGAGTTGACGCCCTTGAACTGAATAGGGTTCTTTAATATTTCTCAGCTTGTGTTGCTGTGTAAGATTTTTAATGTGGTGATTAACTACTACGAGGATAACTAAGTTGACGCTTTTGATATGCCAGGAAAGGGATGAATTAGTTCGGAAAGGAATTTTAACTCCTTTCCATAAGCTAAAGGGCTTTGAGCGCGGCCTTCAAGAACAAGGGCCATCTCGGGGGCGTAATGTTCCCGCAGAAGGAGGCAGGAGTGATGATTTTATTTCAGCCAGTGTTGCTAGAGCAGTTCAGTCACTTTCAGAGGCTGCTCAAGCTCGCCCAGCTACCAAGTTGCTTGATCCAGAAGCTCTACCAAAGCTTGATCCACCCACTCATCCTTTTAAGAGGCTAAGGAAACCGCTTAAAATTCCTCAATCCCTAGAAAATGGTACACAGAGGACTAAAAGTTCAGGAAAGAAAAGGAAGCGTCCTTTGCCGGACAAAAGATGGAGAAAGCGCATTTCTCTTGAGGAAAATAATTTGCTTGAAAGTGGTATGTTCAATGTTGTCATTGCCTATGGTGGTGTTAGGTAGATGTGTGGCACTGTTAAATGTTTTCTCCTTGCTTGACTATAGAAATCTGTAAAGTAATGAGACGTGTTATTTTTCTTGCAGAAAACACTCCCAGCTGTGAAGAAGAAAACAAAGATGATGTTGGAGATGTAGATGATGATGAGTATCCACATGTTACCCTAGAAGGGGGGCTGAAAATTCCGGAGTACATTTTTAACGAACTCTTTGACTATCAAAAGGTAGGGGTCCAGTGGCTATGGGAACTGCATTGCCAAAGAGCAGGCGGAATTATTGGAGATGAGATGGGTCTTGGTAAAACCATCCAGGTTCTGTCGTTCCTCGGTGCATTGCATTTCAGTCATATGTATAAACCAAGCATTATTGTCTGCCCAGTTACTCTTTTGCGCCAATGGAAAAGGGAGGCTAAAAAATGGTACCCGAGCTTTCATGTGGAGCTACTTCATGATTCAGCTCGGGAGCCTGCCATTAAAAATAAAGGGTCAAAGTCTGATGAAAGTGATTCTGATAGTGAAGGTTCATCGGACAGTGATTATGAGAGACCAGAATCATCTAAAAGCACCAAAAAATGGGATTCCTTGATCAACCGTGTTTTGAGGTCGGAATCTGGGTTGCTAATTACAACTTATGAGCAACTCCGTATTGTAGGGGAAAGTTTGCTTGACGTTGATTGGGGTTATGCAGTTCTGGACGAAGGACACCGAATCAGGAACCCAAATGCAGAAGTTACTCTAGTTTGTAAGCAGTTACAAACAGTACATCGTATTATAATGACGGGTGCACCAATTCAGAACAAGCTGACTGAACTGTGGTCCCTGTTTGATTTTGTTTTCCCTGGAAAGTTGGGGGTGTTGCCCATATTTGAGGCTGAGTTTGCAGTTCCCATATCTGTTGGTGGCTATGCGAATGCTTCACCATTACAAGTATCCACTGCATACAGGTTTGCATTTATATCTTGTAAATACAAAAGGACCCAACTTATATTTAAATTCTCAGGCCTGGATGAATGCTTATATTTGTATGTCAAGACTTGTACAGAGTACTTATGTATTAATTTGTATACCTTTGAATATTAGAAATTCCATAACTATCTCAGTTAAATTGTTTATAGGTTGATTAGGTTCACCCTTGCAGAAAAGTAAAATAAAATATTCTTGAAAACTCTCGTATTTCCAGTCTAAGTTTTCATTGGGCAGGTGTGCTGTGGTTTTGCGAGACTTGATCATGCCGTATCTCCTCCGGCGCATGAAGGCTGATGTGGATGCGCAGCTTCCTAAGAAGACTGAACATGTCATCTTTTGCAGCCTCACTGATGAGCAAAGATCTGCATATAGAGCATTTCTTGCTAGTTCTGAGGTGGAACAGATTATGGATGGTAATAGGAATTCACTTTATGGAATTGATGTCATGCGCAAGATCTGCAACCACCCTGATCTGCTTGAGAGGGAACACTGCGGCCAGAATCCAGATTATGGGAATCTAGAACGCAGTGGGAAATTAAAAGTTGTTTCACAAGTGCTTAAAGTTTGGAAGGATCAAGGGCATTGTGTTCTTCTTTTTACACAAACTCAGCAAATGCTTGACATTATTGAAAGTTTTCTGGTTGCTGATGGTTATAGTTACCGGAGGATGGATGGTCTTACTCCCATCAAACAGAGGATGGCTTTAATAGATGAATTTAACAACTCAAATGATGTGTTTGTTTTCATTTTAACAACTAAAGTGGGTGGTTTAGGAACAAATCTGACAGGTGCAAACAGGGTGATCATCTTTGATCCCGACTGGAACCCTTCAACTGACATCCAGGTATATTGTGGACTTACTATTCTTTTAATTTTCAATTTGATGCAGATGTTTGAACTTGGAATCTTATCTTCTCTCCTTGAAAAGTTTACCATAGAATCATAGATATGTCCCCTTTGCGAAATCATGAACATTTAGGAGGATGGATCCTTCTAGGATATTTCTGATTGAAATAGTGCCTACAGGATTTAACAGTTGATATTTTTGTAAACCTTGTAATGTGGGTGCTTTCAACAGGCAAGAGAGCGGGCTTGGCGTATTGGTCAAAAGCGGGATGTAACCATATATAGATTGATCACCCGCGGAACCATAGAGGAGAAGGTATATCATAGACAAATTTACAAGCATTTCCTGACCAATAAGATATTGAAGAACCCACAACAGAGAAGGATCTTTAAAGCTAGAGACATGAAGGATCTTTTCACTCTGAGTGATGACAGAGAGAATGGGTCTACTGAAACAGCTAATCTGTTCGGTCAATTATCTGAAGATGCCAACGTCGTTGGTGTGCAGAATGATAAACCCGATAAGCAAGATTCTCAGAGAGGTTCTGTACGGTCTACCAATGGTGTTGTGGCTGACAAGGCAAATAACTCAGAGTCTGGACCATCCAGAAGGAATGGGAAAGAAAAGGCTGACCAGAGTGACGGTGAAGTAGATGAAGAGACAAATATTTTGAGGTGCCTTTTTGACGCCCAAGGGATACATGTAAGTTTCTTCACTTTGTTTACTGCATACACATTTTTTTTTAATTGATATTCCAGCTGTGGAACTTAAGTTGAAATAAACTTGTTATTACTTTTGTCTGAAATAATCAAGAAATTGTTCGGTTTCTTCCGTAATTTGTGTTCCCGTCGTTATTTTTAAAATGCTGTTCCAATTTTGACTTCAGAGTGCTATGAACCACGATGTAATCATGAATGCCCATGATGAAGAGAAGATGAAGCTTGACAAGCAAGCTTCCCGAGTTGCACAAAGTAGCAGCAGAAGCGTTGCGCCAGTCACGGATGCTTCGAAGCCGTGATGGCGTGTCTGTCCCCACATGGACTGGGAAATCAGGAATGGCAGGTGCACCATCAGCTGTCCGTGGGAAATTCGGGTCTACTCTGAACTCCCAGTTGGTCAAGAATACCAAACGATCAGATGAAGGCCCCAGCAACAGCACAAATGGTTTCGTGGCTGGGGCTCCTGCTGGGAAGGCATTATCTTCTGCTGAATTACTGGCAAAAATTAGAGGAAACCAAGAAAGAGCTGTGGAAGCCGGAATTGAGCATCAGTTTAACCGAGCAAAATCCTTAGATGTTGGACCTTCTAGGACGGGTCACAACTTAGGCGGAGTGCAACCTGAAGTAGTGATTCGTCAGATCTGTACATTCATCCAACAAAGAGGCGGAAGTACGGATTCTTCAAGCATAGTGCAGCATTTTAAGGACAGAATACCATCTAAAGATCTTCCCTTGTTTAAGAATCTGTTGAAGGAAATAGCCAAACTGGAGAAAAACCAAAACGGAGCAGTTTGGGTTCTAAAGCCAGAGTTTGATCGTCAGTAATCTCAACCATCGGGTCATCGCTCGAGTGTGCCGATTAATTCCATCCGTTACCATTGTTAATATCTTCCGTAGGGCAAAGATGACCAGAAATTTCATAGTTTCTTTTTCCTGGTACGTTCTGGCACCATTTTGAACAAAACCACACTGATTAGATGCATTTTCTCTAGATAATTTACTCTTCCATTTAACAGCGTTGCCCAAAAGCATATATAAGTTAGGTCAACTGGCCAGGACTTGAGTTCGAATCCTTCTTCTGTAAATTAGAATAATTTAGAAGTTTTTTTTTTAGCCAAAACGGTCACTGAAAATTGGTATAATTCTTTAATTTGAGCCCTGAGGATTTAATATTGATAAAAATGGTCCTGAGGTTGTTTACTGTCAATCATTTTGATCATTCCTTGAAAAATTTCTATAAAATTGAGGGTATTTTTGTCAACCACTCTATTTGAACCGATGGTTTCTTCAATCGAACTAATATTTTTCATAGAAAGACTAAAATGGTCGACGTTGGACAATCTCAATGACTAATTCTATCGATTTTAAATCTCAAGGACCAAAGTGAATCAGTTATGTTAATCTTAGGGATCATTTTTGCTAAAAAGCTAGTTTAAAATATTGTTTGTGAAAAAGACACTGTTGACCTGAAAGAGCCATGAAGAATCTATGGACTTTAATTCTAGAAGTAACCTGCAAAGCACTCTTGCTTTGATATCCCGCAACACTAGCGGAAAGGAGGCCACACTTAATAAAGTAGAGAATAAAGACAATTACTTGGGCTTTTGGCAAGATATATTTAATATTTCAACGAAAACGACAGGGGAGTGACTTTCACACTTCCGTTCTCTCCTTGCGCACTCCTCCCCTTGGTTAATGGGCAAGACAGCGCTGTTATTGCAAAATTAATGAACCGAAAACGACGAACCAACTTATTTTAGTACAACAGAATGTCAAATTGAAATACTGCAAGAATTAACATCCAACCAAGAACAAGCAAATGAAATAGACAAGGCACACATTTCTGTATTTTATAGAGGCAAAAACATGAAACTGTAAGTTGACAATGTGCCGGCACAAAGAACAAAAGAAGCTCGAAAATATATTGCCCGGAAACATTATTTTCCACGTATGGATGTATTTGGTACCTTGTGCTTTCTTTCTTTTCTCACATATTCCTTCCTCTCACATTTTTTCCCTTATAAATAGAAAAATAATAATAATCGAAGACATCGATCATAATTAACGGATGCTCACACAATCAGAAGGCTGCCCATCCTGCTGCACTTGTCTTTGCCGACGCTGATCCGGTCGCTGGAGGAAGACTCCTCTGGAAATGTATCATCAGAAAACGCATCAGTAATCGGAATTATGGAAAAAGGGTTCTCCGAGAGGCAATGATAAGTAAAATGTCCATGAACCACTCATATTTGCACTGAAAGAGTTTGCAATTTTTTCCTTAATATGGGTGAAAATTGAATCGATCGACATTAAAACAAAGACGCATATTATTGCAGTAGAGAGCAGCTTAAACAAAATGAAAAACAACAGCAATTGTGAAAGAAGTGAGCTGATTGCGAAACACACATGAGAATAACAGTGCGGGCAGAAAATAATGTCGGCTAGCTACTCATTCTCAGCTAGCCGTTCTAAGAGGACTCGGAACCAACTTTCCAGGTAAACCAGGAATAACGAACTGACAAAGGCCAGTATCAAATAAGTTAGGGACATTGATGACAAACATGCGCCATAAGTCACTCGAGATATACTTTGATATTACCATTCGAACAACACAGATACGATCAAAAGTCAGTAATATGCATAGACAGCAGAGACCTGCTGCCTATCTACAAACAATCAATGCTGAAGGTCTCCATACAATCAACACGGATACAATCAAAATAAAACATGCCCTCCTATGCACTCAAGTTCAAATCCCGCTTCCCGTAATTTAGATCAGATTAGGATATTGCACGAATCATAAACACAAACGCTGAAGTCTCCACGGAATTCCTAGCATTTTAGTTTTTTTATGGCAAATGCTATAGCTAATATTTACCAAAACTCAGAGACATTCCAAATTCTACAAGATGAACAACAATTTCGGCTGAACAAGAATGCAATTCCATTCCATAGAAACAACGAGTAGCAATTGCTTACCTCAATCTGGGAAAGATCCGATAACGGGTCGGATCCACGTCTTGTGTTATCCGGCGACTTAACACCACCAGAGCTGATTCTAGCAGCAACAGGGTCATTGGGAGGTGGTGGCAGAGCCGGCCTAACTTTCCCGGACCCCGGCGGCGGAGCCAACCCCAAACTAATCGGCTTCGCCTTGGCCGTCCCGGATAGCCCGGCTGAGGACAACATCCCGGCCCCACTCGTCGGCTTCGGCTTCGGCTTCACATTTATCCTTATCGTCTCACCTTCCTTCAGATCCCAAAGATTTACATAAATAAACGAAAATGTTCACTAAAAGTATGAAATTAAAGTAAAAATTTTCAAAATTTTCTTACTTTCAATCTGTGATTGACGGCGGGATGAATATCGATGTGGCAGTCGTCGCTGGTTTCGCCGCCGTTGCTCTCCTTCTCGTGCTCCCTCTTCACGTACTTATCGTGGTCCGAAAGCGCCACGTTGAAATCGAACGCCTCGTTCCGCTCCGCGAATCCTAGTCCGATGAAGGCGTGCTTCCCGGTGCCGTCCTCGATCTTGAGCACGAAGTAGCGCGACGAGTCGAGCACGGTCTCGACGGAGGTCTCGCGCTGGCCCGGGTGGACGAAGCAGGCGGCGAACAGCTCGCTGGAGTTCGGATCCTCCAGCCGGATCTCACACCGGTCCTTGCACGACACGACCCGGAGCCGACCCGACCAGATCTTATCGGACTGGAGCCACTCGCCGCACTTGTACCCGCCGGAAGTGCTCCGCGGCGGAATTTTGAAGACCGCGACCTCGCGGACCACGAGAAGCGTGTGCTCGAATGCCTCCTCCTCCTCCTCCTCGAACGACATCGTTTCGGGATCGAATTGGGGGCAGAAAGCTTCGAGCTTTTCCGGATTCTGATCGCGCAATGCGGCTGATAATTCGAGAAAATTACGAAATTTTGATTTTTTTTTTCGGATCAAATTTTTGGTGAAGGAGTTGGGGACTTGAATTGGGGAGAATTTGATGTGAATTTGAAGAAATGGGAAAATGGTGGGGGGAAGGTTTCAAATGAGGAGTCTGCGGAGACGTGGGTTCGAAGGTGAGGCAGTTTGCTTGAAAGGTCAACTGGAATTTGTCCAATGGAGGTGACGTGAAATGACCATCTTGCCCCTTTATCCCTCTCTCAATTTTTTTAAAATTTTTGTTGTTGTTGTGTCGATTCGAACTTAAGACCTGCTAACGTTAAGCTGATTCACAAAGTAAACAAGTTATATGAGATCATGAGATGCCAATCGACTTTGGTGGCAATCGAATCAAATACCTGATGATCCTAAATTGCTACACAAAATCAACAAGTTACGAGAAATCCGCCTATCGATAATTTCATTTTTCATCTATTAGCAGGGCTCATTGTTTTGCAAAAATTAATGGCAAGGTCTTGTTTTGTTTACATGAGGCGGATTTAACTATGAACGTATCCGAATTCAAAAATATGCCATTTTCTATGACTACTTAGAGCAACTCCACTCGGTATTTTTGCCAAGGCAAAAGGCCAAAGTTGCCCCTTAGGCAAAATCCATGCCAACCAGTCAAAACTGTCATACAAATGGTGGGCATATCTTTGATAAATGGATTAATAAAACTAAAAAATATTTTAAGGGAATAAGATATTCTTTTCACTTGTGAATGTGATATACGTGGTTAAATTTTTTTAGATACAGTCGATATTTCTGTAAAATACTCAAAGAGATATGGAAAGAAGGACTAAAGTTTATATTGGAGAAACTCTTAAATTTCGACAAAAATCAACGAAATTCGTCAATATATTATGCATACCGGTTAAATATTGAAGAAAGTCTTATATTTTGTTTGACATGACCTAAAATTCATTCAAATTTTCACATTTTTGAGAAAATTTTCACATTTTTGAGAAATTTCACATTTTCATCAAATTTTCACAATTCCATAAAATATGGCTCTTAGCCTCTTACTATTAAATTGGGCCTATTGGGCTTCAGTTTTTAAGCATCTTCAATAAAAGCAAACTGGATTAAGTTCGGGCTTTATGTTCTGGGTCAAGAGTTTGGGCTTCGTTTAGGCATAAAGCAACAGTTAAGGGGCAATTTCGGAAACTAATCCAGCATATATCTCCGCAAAATCTCAAGTCTTCGCTGACCTTAAACCCTAGCGCGAACACCAAGCAGTTTCTCCTCCGCCTACTTTTTGGAGCTCTCAGGTACGAATTTCAGAACAATTTCTGATCTTTTTAGCTTAAATTCGTATTTTCTACCTCCAAGTTCAAGATTGCTAAACAATTTTTTGATAAATATCGAAAATTTTTAGCAGTAAAATAAAAAATTGAGAATTTCACAAGGGTTTGTACTTTTACTGATTGGAGTTAAGGGATTGATTTCAATTGGGTTTTTTTTTTTTGTAAGAATTTATGCTAGGGTTTTATGGAGAATTGCTTTTAATTTTCAGCAGGTTGAAGAAAAAAGCAGGCACCATGTATCTTCAGTACTACATAAACGAGAATGGCAACAAAGTGTACACTACCAAGGTATGTGATGATGATCAATGTTTTAGGTCGTTGTTAGAACACGTAGCGACTTGCCGGTTTTTCGGTTTTTGATGTACTCATTGAACTTTTCATTTGCTTTTGTGAATGCAGAAGGAATCGCCACTTGGGGAAGCTACACAGTCTGCCCATCCAGGTAAAGATGTTTCCGTCTTTTTCTTTTTTCGACCTGGTTTTGCCTCTTTGATGCGTTGTTAGTTGTCTGAGTAGGTTTTTGCATTGATTGTTATGTTGTGACTTGTGAGGATATCGTACCCTGTTGTTTTCGCGTTCTTGCATAATGATTTTAGGCTTAACTTGTCTATATAGAATGTATTTGGGATCTTCGTTGTTTGTTGTTGGTGTGATGGTACGAGACGGAATCAAAAGTAGTCCTAAGTTCCTGTCTGGTCATTTTCATCGAATCTTTGAATGTTTCTAGATGCATGAGGCTGTAATCTTCCTCGGGCTTTTTTTTCTTCCTACTGGTGCTATTGTAAATGCAAAACTATAAGATAGATTGCTGCAACGTACATGTTTGTTTTGAAATTATCAATGTCTTGCTCTGAATGGTTGTGTTTTGTGTGTTGTGTGTCCTCTCCCGAAATGCAAACTCATTCTGAAATGGATTGTGTTGCTGATAATTTGGTTTACAAGTGGTCATCAAACTTTCGAAATTGGGGACGAGGTTGTGCCACGATATGGTGTTTTCTGATTTTCGTTGGATGAATTGTAATCCTTGAGTCGTTTTCTAGTACTGAGTTCTGTGATGATCTGTTGTTTGTTGCTCTACTTAATGTTCCGTAGAAAAAGGTTCCCGGTTCTTTTCGTTACTAATATGTTTCTTTCCCGTGTTTAACTGCAGCCCGCTTCTCCCCAGATGACAAATATTCGAGGCAAAGATATCTTCTGAAGAAGCGCTTTGGATTGTTGCCAACCCAGCAGTCACCTCTAAAGCATTGAGTACTTGACATGGTTCAGCAGCTCTCACGTCGTCGTTTAAAGTGTCTTGGGAGTTTGTAGTTTTTACTAGGTGTGTTGTGTAGTTGGACCTTTTGTTTGAGGACTGTAACTTAATCTGTTTAAGTTTTTGCAAGTGTAGTAGATTTCTATTAATAATTTACGTTCAGCCATCATCTACTCATATATTTGGTTGTCACAACTAAAACCCTAAATTGGAGTCTATTTAAAAACGAATCTAAACTGCGGGGAGGGAGAATCGAACTTGGGTGCGTAAATTTGTTGGAGCCATGTCTAACACCCTCATTTATTTTCGACAAAAAAAAAAAAAAAAATAAACACCCTCATTTATGAAAGATTAAGATTGAAACACAACGATAATTAGATTAAGCTACACAATAGGTCTAGTATTGAGTTTGTTATTCATAAGTTGAATGAGACCTCTCGAATTGAACTTGGGCTTTTGTAGTTACATTTGTTTTATCTAACGTTTGTGGGTTCATTTGGAAGTGCATTTAAAATAGTTGAAAACTTTTTTCATGAAAATGTTTTTAGAACCAATATATGCTAAAAATACAAGTGCATATTGGAAAAACATTTAAAGTGCTTTTGGAACCCAAATTCATTTTCTTTGAAAGCGTTCGTAGTTATTTGAAAGGTATTTCCAAATGATCCCCAAGTCTATCACACCCTCGTCTACACACGATTGGTTAAAAAAATATTGAAATTTTTTTATGCAACAATGATTCGGTTAAGTTATACAATGAGTTAACTTGACTGTCGTATTTACGATCCATGTGAATCGAATTTGAGTTCTCATACTTACTAGTGTAGATAAATACCGATTGACTATAGTATTAGCAACACAAATTGCATTGTTTTATTTACATTCATCCTAATTTGACACGTGAACACAAATTTTTATTTTTCTATATTTACTCAAAATACAATGACAACCCTTGACCAATCAGAAAACCGGATTGTTTATTTATACGCAAGCAAGTACTGAAAAAAAAGGAAAAAATAAAATAAAATAATTATACGCGCGGGCCTTTATTCCCTTCCAAAAAACCCCAAACAAACGTACTAAAACGACCTCGTTCTTAGATGCCCCAAGTCTTCACTGTCCTCGGTACTCACTCGAGCAGTAGTCGTCGCGCCCCGAGACTTCACCACCACTGACCATCTCTATCTCTCTCTCTCCAACGCTCTCGCCTCTCGGTACGTTCCTCCTCTCGATCTGAAACCGTAGCGTCTTCCGGATCGCGTCCGTGCACGAATGTGCGAGTGAATTTGCGTATCTGAAGCTGTTGATTTGTTACTGTTGCAGGAATGGCTACCATAAGCCTCGGGTTATTTCTGGTGCTGGTTTTTGCGATTGCGATCTGCCATGCTGCTGCTTCTGTCTTCCAGCCGATCTCCGACTCTCACCGATCCGCGGCTTCGGAGCTCTTCGCGCCCGCCGATGGATCGTACGGGAGGTGAATTAAACCCCTAATTAAACCCTTGAAATGATCCGTCTGTTTGATTTTTTTATCGTATTTTCTGTTTCGTTCCCGAGGAAGTTAAAATGGTGTGGATGCATTTGGATGATCCAATTGAATAATTAAAACGGATTTGTTTCATTTTTATATGATGCCGCCTTCTGAGAGATTTGAAGTTAAAGTTTCTATTTTTTTCCCTGTATTTTACTTGTAATGCGCGGTTAGCTTTCAATTCTGGTGGAATTTGATTTCATTTGCACGATTAGAGTAATTTATTTGGATATTGGTTGCAAATTTGATTCTAATTATTCGATTTGGTAAATTGTTGACAGTTTAGAAGAGGCATATGAAGCCCTAAGATCGTTGGAGGTTCTTCGGATCAATAAGAAGTCCGATATACACGCGGCTACTTGTCAGTCCGTTGTGGACAAACTTGGGTCATCGTCTTCTGCCCCAAAGGATTTGTTCTTTGCCTTAAAGGTTAACAGCATTTTGGATTGCGAGGTTAAAAATGAAGTCTTGGAGGTATTTGTTTAAGTTTTAGAACCCTTGCTTTGTTCTCAACATGAAATTAACTGCTTATGAGTTATGTGGAAGAATAATGAAGTGGGTGATTAATTCTTATTTCCTTGTCTAGGGCATTGCTTCAAGACTTAAAACTATTGTCAATAGTGCAAGTTCATTGCACGACTTCTACTACTCAGTCGGAAGCTTGGTACTTGTTAAGGTAAATTGTTGAAGAACTACCTTTTGGCTGCACTGTCCAACTCAGGTTTAGATCTTCTTTTTTGTTTGAGGTCTTAGTTTGACTGCAGATTCAACATGTATCAATGGTGATTTATGAAATAATATCAACTCTGAGGGAAGCAGACAAATATTTTGAATACTGTTACTATTTTAATTGATTTAACTATTGTGCAAGGCCTCTCATTTGTGTTTTTTGAGCCCCTACATCTATAGATTATGAACTATTTCCCTAAATTTTTTGCCTTTTTTCTTTCTTGCTGCAGGATCAAAGTTCTGAAGTCGATGTACTTCTTGCTGATGCTGGTGGAGTTTTCCATTCTATCAAGGTAGTTCCCACAACAATTAGTGGTTTTGTA